TACATGTTGATGAAAGCAATGTCCTACAGACTTCTAACCTGGCTGAGTCCACAGTGCAATCTGCTACTCAGGAACCTACAGATGTGTTCACTTGGCAATCTGTGCAGACCACCTGTGAACAGGCAGGTCCATCTCCACAAGAGAGTTCCAGCGCAGAAGGGGAACCAGGAGAAGCTATGCCAAGGGTAAGAGAGACAACCACTGTGAGACACTCAGCAAGGAGTAACAAGGGTGTACCACCACTGATGTATGGAATTTGTGCAAGTGTACAACCAGTGAAGGAACCTAATAACTCAGAGACTTTTGCACCTGTTGTGAGTTATACATCCTTCAGGACACTCCTATGCATAGCAGCGTCAAGGGGCATGCACGTTGAACATTTGGACATCAAGACAGCTTTCCTCAATGGAGACCTGAATGAAGAAATCTACATGAAACAACCAGAGGGATTTTCAACAGAAGGACAAGAAGGTCTAGTGTGTAAACTCAACAAAAGCGTCTATGGACTAAAACAAGCAGCAAACGCTTGGAACGAAAAGCTGACTAAACTGCTACAAAAACAGAGCTTTCAACAAGGAATAGCAGAACCTTGCTTGTTCTCAAGACTTAAAAATGGAAAGTATCAATACATACTCATTTATTTTGTTGATAAGTTTTCCAACTTCAAAGGCTGCTATTTGCCCAAGGGGGAAACATGCACATCACCAATTTTCTTGTTTATATGGCCAAGGCAACAAATTTTAATTTCCTTCAAGGGTGGCAGACAAATTCCCCCCCCTCCTCCAATGGGGCACAACTGACTGGGAAGTTCTGTTACATGGAAATGAATTGGCCTTGAGGCACACAGCTGTATAGTAGAGGAACAGATGCAAATGAAAAACAAAGATGTTTCTGTTGTAAAGAAGAATCAAAACAGGACCAGATGCAGGAAAGAATTTTGAACTATTTTAAAATCTACTCAAAAAATAACATGCAGCAGTTGAACCAAAGCATGAAGACAGCCTCAAATAGGAGGGAAAGGAATCAGGAAGGGATATCTTGCAGAGTCCCAAGAGCTTAGAAGGAGAGAAACTGGCTTTGTTTGTTCAGACATTTTTGACAACTGGTTGGTGACACTACTTGTTAAAAAAGAAGGGAAAATAATCCTTAATTCCCTGAATCTCTGCTAACATAATGGTTTGGTTCCTACCTGCCAATGGGCATACCCCTAAGATGAGACCACCACCTGTATCTTTGCGAGACAGTGTGAATCCATTTGACAAAATCAAATTTGTAATAGAAGACATGCCCTGGGCAACATCTCCTGCATTAACTTTTTCTCCACTGAAAGAGATAGATTGTGTTCGAAGTGCTGCTGTTGTCTTCTTGTCAATAAGGAGAAATGGGCAGTTCCCCATGCAGGAGGCAGTGTGTTTCCTCTCAGGAAAAATTTGATACCAGAGGTAGGTGAGCAGGTTTTTTCCCCCACCCTCCTTCTAAGTAAAATCAATTGGGAGGCTAATGGGGATGGGAGCATTTTGTGGATTTCAGCCTCCCCCCCCCCTTTGCTATATTCTCTGCAGAGGGTAACTTAAAGATAGCATATGGATGTCTAGCTCTGTAATACAGACAATAACAGGTTCAATATTGAGTGGAGTTAAATTGCGAAAACCACGTGGGGCAAAGTGAATCCTTTTCTCCCATGTGTTGTGATCCAAGTCCAGTTTGGGGAAGTCTGGCAAAAAAAAAGGCCCTTTGTAATGTGGCACTCAGCTAAGAGCAGAGCTAGCGGTCAAAGCCTGGCTTGCGGTTAGCTCGCCCTCAGCCTGTGAGAGATGAGTGCTTGAGGAGAGCGACAGGCCCCTTTGGGTGGGGCCTGGAGATCTCCCAGAGTTACAACTCATCTTTAGACTACAGAGATCAGTCTCCCTGGAGAAAATGACTGCTTTGGGGAGTGGATGGTATGGCCTTATATGCTGCTGAGGTCCCTCCATAAGGCCCCTAGACTCCACCCCAAATCTCCAGCCATTTCCCAGCCCAGGTTGGGAAATTTTGTCACTAGAGCATAGAATTTCAAACCTCATTCTCCTTTCAGGGGATAAGGATATACACCTTATAGCAATGCAAAAATCTCTGAGGGAAGCCTCCAAAGGAGTAACCTCCAGGTAGGCCTCCTGAAGCCTTTATGGCCTGATGACAAAGATGGCAGCCGTATGGGATACTCAGGCCTTGGTTCCATGCTCTGCAGGCAAAAGCCGGGGGGAGGGTATGACTGGCCAGGTTGTGCCGCAGCACAGGCCTGTGTTTAAGTTGTGTTGTGTGGGAGGTAGCATGAAAAGGACACAAGCAGGTTATGCAGGAAAATAAGTTTTTATTGGACTCCCTGCATTCTTCCACTGTTCCCAACTCAGGCTGTTCAGTTCTCTGCCATGACTGTTTCAGCCCATTCGCGGACGGCACTGACACGGGTATACACAGCAGGGGTGGTGACAGAGCAGCGGCTGCTGCCCCAAGACACAATGCCCACCAGCTTCCAAATGCCTCCGTTCTGGCACACAAGGGGGCCGCCGGAATCACCCTGCAAGACAACATAGTGGAAACATTGTGAGGGGTGGTCTGGGACCTTGATCCATTAGAGATGCTCTTAGGTTCTTACAGTTTGAGTGCTCCCACTGGGAAGGCAGATATTTCACATTTAGTGCCTGTCTATGGGAGGTGCCAGCCCTCTGCTGTTCCCCTCCAAGGGAGAAGGGTACGGATGCTCACCATGCATGAAGAGGAGCCAGCTGCACCGGCACAGATCATCAGGTCTGAAATGTTGCTGCCCCAAGACTCCTTGCACTGCTCATTGGACAGCAGGGGCAGGGCTGTCTGCTGCAGTTTGCTGGGGGTATTGAAGGCTGCAGGAAACAGAATCAGGTCAGAACACGGGGCTTCCACTCCCACAGTTCCACTGAAATACTCCTACAGTGGGACCTTGAAAGAAAACATTCCAGATGGCGCATGCCCACCCCAAAAGAATGCAGAACCCTTTTCTGCAGACCTCGCCCAGGTGGCTGGAGACCAGTTGTTAGCAGGCAGACCAGGCATGCCCCTGGGACCAGCATACCTTGCTTGGGATAACATCAGTGTCCGTCCCCCGCTCAGTTTACAAAGATGATGGAGCAAAATCCACATTGAGAGAAGACAACTGGAGCACACTGAACTGTTTGCTTATTCCTCTGAAGGTTCATCCTGGTAAGGATGGAAATACCCTGGAGAAAAATGGGTGCCTAATTCCCCAAGGACTCTCCACCCCACACACATTCCTAGGAGCCCTGTTCACAAGTTACAGCGAATGCATCTACAATATAGTGAATGCATGTACAATCCATGTACAGTGTGCACTTGATAGTTTTAATACATGCGTTGAGTAATTCTCATGTTCAACTCATGCACAGCTAAATGTGATGCAAACTCCACATGTATCCAGGTATTGGTCCCTGGTTTCAACTGCAAAGTGAACGTTCGTTGGATCTTTTCTTACAAACAGATGCATGTAAGTACATGTGAGATGTTGTTAATTATAATATGGGGACAGGGCTTCTGGTGAATGCAAAACAAGCCAGCTGTACAACTGCATGCCAGCTGTACATGCTGGACTCTGTAAACTCAGTGGAGTGGCATGAATGGACACATCCAGCAAACCTCAGCTATGTGAGAACAGGAGATAGAGCAGTTCTCCAAGTCCCTGACACAGGCCATCTGGAGGATCCCTAGGTCTCTAAAAAGGGATGGCTAACTTTTCCCTAGGTCTCCAGGGATGGCTAACTTTTCAGCACACCTTTTCATAGGGCTTTCTGAGTTCAATCAGAATTATTTCAGATCCATATCCAGTTCAGGGACTGCCAATTGACCATCCTTGATTTGGAGCCAAAATATAGAATAAGGCAGAAGATTGGAGGCTGTACCACTTCTGACTGTAATCTGAAGGAGTCTGTTTTTTTCAGGTTCCACCATAAATTCAGCAAATTAGCATAAGGGGTAGGAGTCTGCACTAAGGTGGTTTCACTGCAATACAGGAAGATTTTTAAATGTGGGGGAGCCTTTGGCAAAATGTCCTCTGCCATCTGACATGGTACATTCCTGAACTCGACCACTGATTAGTCTAAGTAATGTGTAGATCAGCTCTTAGCATTCTAGAACAAGCTTAATTAAACAGTCCTCAGGCTAGGAACGGACAAAACAGCTTTAAAAAAAGATGGAATCCCTTAGTCTAAAAGCTTGGGGAGGTAACAAACATTTTGACCTGGCATCTAAGGGACAATAAGGTAGGTGCCAGGCAAGCCTCAAGGGGGAGGGCATTCCCAAAGCAAGATGCCACCACTGAACAGCCCTTGTCTCTGATCACCCCTCGCTTTGTGTCTGCAGATAGGAGCACCGAGAGCTTGGCTTCAGAGGAGGATCTTAACTGGTGGCCTGGGGAGTATGAGATCCGACAGTCCCTCAAATACCCTGGTCCCAGATCCTTTTGGCCTTAAGGACAAGAACAAGAGCTCCATTTGGAAACAGATGTGCAGCCAATGCCAATCTTGTAGGACAATATAGACCAATGTTAGCTCCACTTCTCCACATCCTCTGGAGCCACTAATCCCTCCTCCCTGCTCCTGTGGTGGACCTTCAGAAAGCACTTTGCTCTGGGATGTGCTGCAGCCAGGCTGTGCCACCTCCAACAACTGATGCATCTTTCTCAGCTCAAAACTGTGGCAAAACAGCAAACCCATGGCTGTCCTGGAGAGACGGAAGCCTGTTGCCAGACCCACCGTTGTAGCGCGTCTTGCCCCACCCGCTGGTGGCACAGAGATCACCACTTTGGAAGTCGTCCGCAGCATCTGTCAGGCACACAGGGGATACTTTGGCACCTAGCTGGGCAGGCGTGGCCAGCTTGATCAGGGCAATGTCATTGTTGATAGCAACGGGGTCCCAGTCTGGGTGGGTGAAGACCTGGTCGAAAAAGAGGCACACTCTGAGTTAGCCCGGGATACAGTGATGTGGGGAGGGGGCTTTTGTTCTCCTCTACCTGCCGCTATTTTTGCATCGCAAATTGAAATTTTTAACACCAGGGGTTGTGCTGCACCATCTTGCCATGTGGTGAAAAGGGGCCGTGAGCAGATTCATGGAGGGAGAGGTCTATTAATGTCTAGTAGCCACAGTGAGTAAAGGAGAGGTCCATATTCAAAGGCAGGTAGCCTTTGAGACCCAGTGCTAGAAGGCAATATTGGGGAAAGGCCCCAGCCTCTCTGCCCTGTTTGTTGACCCTCCAGGACAACTGGCTGGCTGCTGTGTGAGACAGGACGCTGGACTAGTTGGACCACTGGTCTGATCCCGCAGGACTCTTCTTGTTTTTTTACACCCCTCTCCTCTCATGCCCTTCTCTCTCATGCTTGTAAAGGTGGCTTCCTTCCTACTGCCTAGCAAGCTATAAGACTTCCTCACCCACCTGTTCAATAGCCAGTTTTTGTATATTCTCCGCAGAAGAGCTACGGTCGTGTTCCCCAAGCACTACAACGTTGGACTTCCTGGAGAACAAAACAAAGGCAACCACTTAGGGGCGCATTTCAAGGAAACAGCAACATTTTTTTAAAAAATCCTTATTGCTTTAGTTTGTTTGTGGACAAAAGGATTTAACTCCATTTATCTGCCCTGACCTGGGTGGCTCAGGAGAGCCTGATCTCGTCAGAGCTTGGAAACTAAGCAGGGTGGGCCATGATCAGTACTTGGATGGGAGTCCAACCCAGGAGGTCCAGGGTTACTATGCAGGGGCGCACAATGGCAAAGCATCTCTGTTTGTTTCTTGCATTGAAACCCCTGTGGGGCTGCCGTAAGTCTGCTGCAACTTGATGGCACTTTACACACGCATCTTCCAGAGGAGCGGAGCTGTTGTAAAGAGCTCAGTTTTGACCTGACACTCCAGCAGAGGTAATTTGGGGGGGGATCGCGGGGGATCGCAGTTCCCCCGGGTGAGGTATGGGGGCGGGGCACATGACGAAGCCCCGCCCCCTGCTTCCGGCCGCCCCGCTTCCGGCCCTCATTCAGCCAGGAGGAGGCAGGAGAAGAGGGAGGGTAAGTTGCTTCCTCCCTGCCTCTCCCCACCCCTGCCTGCCTGGGGCCAGGGAGGGCCTTCGCGGGGCTTCCTTGCACTCCCGCCGGCCTTGCAGGTCCACCGCCGGGCCCCTCATGGGAGTGGGGTGTGTGGCCTTATGACACACTTCCGGTGACATCAGGGGGTGTGGCATATGCTAATGAGTTATGCTAATGAGTTCCACTAGCTCTTTTTCTATGAAACGACCCCTGCACTCCAGTAGTAGCATCCTAAACAGAGTCCCACTCTCTAAACTTCCTCCAATGTCAATGGGCTTAGAGAGGCGTGACTCTGCATAGGCTGGGGCAGCAATTTGCTTCTTTTCACTCACTTGCAGAGAGGCTGCCTTGCAAATTGGTTTCTCTTACTGCTGCTACTCAGTCCTTGTGAAGATTTATTTTACCCACAATCCTGTTTAGGGCCTTTCTGCATAATTAAAGAGTGTCCATCAGTCATTTTACCCTTCATGTGAACTTAGTGTGATACACCCAGGAGCTCCAGGTCCACAGAATGGAACGAGCCTTGATTCTGGGGGCCAAACCACACATTACATACAGAGGCATGCCATAAAGTGCCAATGGTACTTTTTGCCAATGAAAAGACGCTTCAGCAAGAGACTGATTTGAGTGGAGAAGGGGGGCGGGAGTGGAATACACTGTCCTTTCCCTCCTGGGTGTTTCTTCTGCTTCAAATCTCTCTCTCTCCCTCTCTCTCTCTCTCTCTCTCTCTCTCTCTCTCTCTCTCTCTCTCACACACACACACACACACACACACACACGTTGCATCTGGCTCCTTTTCTTCCATGTAGAGTTCCAAAGACATGTTTAGACTTAGCAGACACATCGCTGGAAACCCCATGAAGGAGAAAACAACCAGGGAATGATTCAGAACAGAAACACAGCCAATGGGAAAAGAGTCAGCACTCTGCCGCTTCTCCACTCAAAATTGCTTTTCCCTGAAGCCAATTTCTATATATTTTTTTAAAATCCCATCAGGGCTTCCTTACATGCATTTGTTAGCAATTCTGAGAAACAACTTGGTTTCAGCTCACAGTTACCAGTATGGCGGGCTTGTTGCTATCAGTTTTGGAGAGGAAGGATGTAATTCATCACTGACCAATAGCATTAGGAAACAAAATGCTCTAGGCCTAAGAGCGGACATATTTTTCAACCTGAGTATCACGTGGGTGTCTCCACACACTTTTGAGGTCGGCTCCCCCCCCATCGCTCCCTTGCCAGAATACGAAAACGGGTGAGTCAGAAGATGAGGCTACACTGCCAGTCCAGGAGGGTGAAAGAATCGGCGTCTACTCTCCCATTTTGCGGCTTGGATTGGCTCTTCATGTCCCCCAGCTATCAAGCTGCCTAGCACTTTTGGGGGAACACTGACCCACTGGGTGATGCTACAGAATGGCAGTCTGATACTCCTGACAAACTGTGAACCCGCTCAAGGGTAAGACAAAATATTCCCACAAGCTGGACACGGCCCTTAAGCTCTAGTTTGTCCACCTCTACTCCAAGCTAATGACCACCGTGAGAAACATTTCAGCTCACATTCCCTTGCCCTGGTTGGACACAGCAGGCAGCACTTCCCAGATCAATGGGCTGGCTTGTCGCAAACTCCCTTCCCTTGCCAAAATTTCTGGTTTTGTTTTTTGTTTTTTTAAAATATCTGAACAGTACGGAGGCGCAAAGTCTGTACTCACGTCACCCCGCAGTGGGCAGCGGTCACCACCCAGTGCTCACTGACAAGAGACCCGCCGCAAAAGTGCCATCCAGTGTTGTCCTGTAAGGTAGGCCAATAGAAGGAGAAGGTTAGTGTTGCCAAGCTCCTGGTGGGGTCTGGAGGCCCCCTGGCATTACAGCGGATTTCCAGATGATCGAGATCAGTTCCCCTGACAGCTTTAGAGGGTGGACTATATGGCATGATACCGTACTGAAGTCCCTGCCCTCCCAAAACCCCACCTTCCCCAGGGACCAACCAGTTAAGACTTTTGAAATAGTTGTCTCTGGGGTTTTAAACTGTTTTACTTTTTGTCCAGCATCTTGTATGTTGTAACCTGCCCTGAGCCTGCATGCGGGGAAGGGCGGGATTTTTTTAAAAATCAAATAAATAAATCTCCCCCTGGAGGTTGGCAGTCCTAGACTCTGGGCAGGTGTATCAATATTTTAAATAAATAAGAGTGTGGGATTCAAAACATCAGTTAGCACTCTGAGGCCACCCCCATCTAACCAACCCTCTGCTGTCAGAAAGGGGGAGTGTCTAAGAAAGAGGCAAGGAGACATGCAGTGCAATCCAAAGCATACATATTCAGAAGTAAATCCAAACTCAGTGGGACTTAGTGTCCAGTAAGCATGCTCTAGATTGCAGCCAAAGTCTGGCAGAGCTAGGAAATGGAAGCAGAGCTTGGGAAGAGACCAGGTGAAAGAGATGTAGGCAGCAATCACACACACTAAGTAATCCACTTTCAATGCACTTTCCAACTGGATTTTACTGTGTGACCTGGGAAAATCCAGTTGGAAAGCGCTTTGAAAGTGCATTGAAAGTAAATTATTGTGTGTGTGATTGCAGGCAAAGAGTATCAGGGACAGGGGTGATCCTAGGACAGAGGGGCAAAAAATCATTTGCTGGAATGGAAGGGGGCACAGGCTAGAAGCCCCGTCCTTCTGAGCTTTGAAGCCCAGATGTTTAGGTACAAATTGGCTGTTGTTGCTCTGTACTTAGGGGGATGCATCCTGTGCATGAGCAGAAGCACTATCCTTTTTAATTATCATTTTCCAAATTCTGGGGCTCAGTTCTATCTTCCTTTGTAAGTTCCAAAGCACCCAAAGAAGATCCTAAGAAACTCCCAATCAGTTTTTACCTGCAAAGTGATCTGCCAAGGCCATGATCCAGGCACTGCCTCCTCTCCGTTGACAATGCGGGTGTAGCCACTGATGACCGGCTCAATCGCAGGGACACCACAGTCTAGAAAAAGAAGGAAATTAGCCCTTTTTTCAGTTTCCACACCTGGATCACACATCTGCAGAAAGACTGACAAAAGGAGGAGGCGGCGGCAATTGGATTTATACCTCCTTACAATCTCCTTTCCCTTCCCCTCGCCACAACGGACCCCCAGTGAGGTAGGTGGGGCTCAGAGAGCTCTGAGAGAACTGCTCTTTCCAGAACAGCTCTGAGAGAACTATGACTGACCCAAGGTCACGCCACCAGCTACGTGTGGAGAAACGGGGAATCAAACCTAGTTCTCCCAGATTAGAGTCCATGCTCCTAACCACTACACCAAACTTACCAATCCTCCAGGCCAGGTACTTACTCTGTGCTGCACTTGCAAGTGCCACGCAGGAGAGGAGCCACAAGATACTCATGCTAGTTCTGAAAGTGACACGATTAGAAAAGCTCCTGGGGGCATCGTTGTTTTTATACTGAATGCCCACAGCAAAGGTGGCTGGAAGCCAGCAGTTACTTGGGAAGAAGGAAGCCTGGCCCTTGATAACACGGTTGATAACTGACAGGAGCTGCTAACAGTGCCCACTTTGGGAAAAGGGAAGTTATTTTTAGGCTGATCACAGCTGATGGGTTTCCACAGCACCATCTTTTAGGGGCACTGTAGAATTCAGTGAGGAATGGACCCCAGCCTTTTCTTCCCTCTTGCTTTCCTTTGTACCCACTAAGGAATTAATCCGTTCATGTTGTTAAGAACTCTCCACTCTAAAACACACCCCACGCTCCAGTGTAATTCTCATGGAAATGAGTAAATTGGCCAGCAAAACATCTGTTCTGTAATGGAACCACGACCAGAAAAGTGCCAGGCAAGGACACTTTGCATCCAGCCACCTTGGCCAGTTGTTGGGATGCAAAATCTTTAACACAGAATCGAAACTGCTTTGCTGCTCTGTCTATAAATTTGAACTCTCCCTTCCATTCCAATGTATCTGAAGAAGTGTGTGTGTGTACATGAAAGCCTTGAATAAACCTTTGCTGGTCTGAAAGGTGCCACTGGACTCTGTTCATATATTTATACACTTAGCCAGAACAGAACAGATTTGTATGGTCTTCTTTTTCCTTCAGTGCGCCGTACAAGTCTAGCTCCCAGTTCTATACTTTATTTATACCTTGATTTTTTCCCCTGCTGGGGACCCAAAGTGTCTACACTGTTTTATCCTCACAACAACCCTGTGAGGTAGGTAGGGCTGCACAACAGTGACTGGCCTAAGGTCACCAGCAAGCTTTCATGGCAGAGTGGGGGTTCAAACCTGGCTCCCCCAGATCCTAGTCTGACACTCTACCAGTTTCTCCAAGAGACTTGAGCCAGTTTGGTGTAGAGGTATGGACTCTAATCTGGGAGAACCGGGTTTGATTCCCCACTCCACATGCAGCTGCTGGTGTGACCTTGGGGTCAGTCATAAGTACTTTCAGAGTTGTTCTCTCAAGCGCAGTTCTTGAGAGAGCTCTCTCAGCCCCACCTACCTCACAGGGTGTCTGTTGTGGGGAGGGGAAGGGATTGTAAGCCGCTCTGAAACTCCTTCAGGAAGTGAAGGGTGGGGTATAAATCCAATCTCTCCTCTCTCTCTCTCTGCCCACTACACCATGTTGAAGGCCCTGATAGCTTTATGACTGGCAATTGAAGGCCTCTATAGCTTTATAGCCGAAGAATAGATTCTTTTGAACTATGGTGCTGGAGGAGACTCTTGAGAGTCCCTTGGACTGCAAGAAGAACAAATCAGTCAATCCTCAAAGAAATCAACCCTGACTGTTCCCTGGAAGGCCAGATAATGAAACTGAAGCTCAAATACTTTGGCCACCAAATGAGAAGGGAGCACTCACTGGAGAAGACCCTGATGCTTGGAAAGATTGAAGGTCAAAGAAGACGGGGACGGCAAAGGATGAGATGGTTAGACAGTGTCATCGATGCAACGAACATGAAGTTGAGCCAACTTCAGAGGACGGCAGAAGACCGGAAGGCCTGGAGAGAGCTCGTCCATGGGGTCGCGAAGAGTCGGACTCGACTGTGCGACTGAACAACAACAAATAGCTTTATGATTGGCAAAGGTACTGGCTTTAGTTCCAAATCAAGAAACCACGAGCATGGAACGTGCTCTAGCACAGGTAGGTGTGTATATGAGCATTAGCAGTTAGTCCACCTGGGAACAGGCACAGAACCTATTAAATTGGTTCCGCTGAGGCTATGTCATCAGACAGCTGTTGCTGCTGATGGAGTTAGTGGGCTGTCTCTTGGCTCTGGCAACTCACCCAGCTTCAGGTAAAACTTTCCCAGCCAGCCTGTCTGGGAGTGAGAAATATGGAAGCCTGAAGGGGTCCTCTGGAACTCAGTGCCTTAAATCACTGTTTCCAAGGAACACTAGGGCCATGGTTGCCAATCTCTGGGTAGGGCCTGGAAATCTCCCAGAATTGCAACTGATCTCCAGACTACATAGATCAGTTCCCTTGGAGAAAATGGCTGCTTTGGAGGGTGGACTTTATGGTATTATACCCTGCTGAGGTCCCTCTCCATGCTCTACCCCCTAATCTCCAGGACTTTCCTAGCTCAGAGTTGACAATCATCCCTGGGACTTTGTGGGAGTTTACCTATGTATTCATTTAGAAAATACATATATCTCCTGTCCAGAGACCTGATCAAGGCAGCTCACCAGTAAAACAATACAATAAAGTCATAAAATGGCAGGATAAAAAAGACAAGCCATGGAAAAACCCAGAATGAAAACAAGTGTGAGTGTATATGAATATTGTTGTAGATCACCGAAATGATTGCATCTTTAATTTCGTTGTACTATGTACAATGACAATAAAGTATATTTGATGATGATGATGTTAGGGCCTAAAGGAGGACATTCTAATGACAAGGAGCCACCACTGAAAAAACCTTGTTTGCTGCCTGCCTCAGGCAGAGCACAAAGAGCAGGGCTTGTGAGGAGGACCTTAACTGGTGGGCTGCAGAGTATGGGCGGAGGTGATCCTTCAAGTAACTCCAGGTGGCACCTGGAGGTCTCCTGCTATTGCATTTGATCTTCAGACAATCACAATCAACTCCCCTGGAGAAAATGGCTGCCTTGGAGGGTGGACTCTATGGCATTATACCCTGCTGAGGGTCCCTCCCTTCCCCAAACCCCATCCTTTCTAGGCTCCAACCCTGAAATCTCCAGGTATTTCCCAACCCGTAGCTGGCAATTCTAAAGTCCCTAGGGAATCACCTACGTTTGCCTAGTGGTCAGACCAGACCTGGCTCCAATTCTACCCAGCTGCAACAACAAGGTGGTAAGACTGTCCTTGCCTCAGGCCACCTGGGCCTTTGCCCACACTCTATCCACAGCTAAAATGTGGAATTTCTTACTTATCTTCAAGGTTCTTAGATAAGAGTTGAAAAATAACAGCTTAATTTTTCCACCCTTTCCAACCATGTGGACTCTGGCACATATATAAGGGACTGTCACTTTTGCTTCATTCTTGACTCTTTGAAGAAACAAGATGGCCACTATCTGGTTCCTGTCCTGCCTTGCCCTCCTTGGCACTGCCTATGGTAAGTGCCAGCAAGGCCTGTTGAGGGTGAGGCAAGAACTAAGGGGACAAAGATGCAGCTTTCCCCTCCTATGCTGCTAACAAGCCTGCATGACAGGAGAGATTGTAGGGTTTGGACCCTTTTGACATAGCTGAAGGAACAACATATATGGCCAGGCAAAGTCTCTCTCTCTCTCTCTCTCTCTCTCTCTCTCTAGGAATGGTATCTGTAGGGAGAGATGCCTCTTCAAGCTATGTAGAGCCAACTCTGTGTCCTGCTTGGGCCACCTTGGTCTCCACCCCAGTAAGTGGTAGAATTAGATGCTGCACTTAGAGTTACCAAGTCCCCACTGGCCACCAGCAGGGGATGAGTGGGTAGGGTAGCCAGATCCAGGTTGGGAAACTTCTGGAGACTTGGGGATGGAGCCTGGAGAGGACAGGGACCTCAGTGGGGTACAATGTCATAGAGTCCATCCTCCAAAGCATCCATTTTCTCCAGGGGAACTGAGCTCTGTAGTCTGGAGATGAGCTGTAATTCCAGGGGATCCCCAGGTCCCACCTGGAGGCTGGTATCCCATCCAGCCACATAATTAGGGCTTAATTCCCAAAACTGTGCAGCAAGTGAGCAGTGATGGCTGATAGGATCAGCAGCAGCCACTGCCACACAGAGAGAAGAAGAGGATATTAGATTTATACCCTGCCCTTCACTATCCATAGGAGTCTCAGAGTGGTTTACAATCCCTTTCCCTTCCCCTCCTCACAACAGACACCCTGTGAGGTTGGTGGGTCTGAGAAAGCTCTTTTGAGAACTGCTCATGAAAGAACAGCTCTGAGAGAACTTGTGACTGACCCAAGGTCATCCAGCAGCTGCATGTGGAGAAGTGGGGAATCAAACCCAGTTCTTCCAGATTAGAGTCTGCACACTTAACCTCTACACCAAACTGGAGAGGGCAACTGAAGTCTGGTTGCTGCTGCGCTTCTTTCCTGAAATTACTCTCTCATACAGGAGGTCTTGGACAGGGCAAAATGACCCCAAAGGATGAGGAGTTAGTCAGATCAGGGGTCTGTGGCATCAGGTCAGGGGCTGGCAGTGGGCCCTCCCAACATCTGGGTCTCAGCAGCCTGCAACTGATGTTGATCTCCAATGTTGACCCTGCCAGGAACTTCCTATATCTACTCATGGGCAAGGAAAGACCTCTCCATCCTCTTCTTTGCTGCGAGTACTCTTCAGTACTGAACCCTGGTATTAGAAACAGGTTCCGTGGCTAATCCCTGATGCAATGAAGCCCAACCCCAAATTCTCCTTAGTGTAGGCCAGGGAAGCCCTCCCAGGTTAATCCTTTGCCCTTTCTTTGACATCAGGTTGCGGTGTTCCCGCCATCCAACCTGTCCTCAGTGGATATTCACGGATAGTCAATGGAGAGGAGGCAGTGCCTGGATCATGGCCCTGGCAGGTTTCTCTGCAGGTAAGAGTCCAGCACAGTTAGCCTATGCTGGGAATGTGGAAGAGCATGGGGAAGGGGCTGATTGCATGACAGTGACGAGAACCAGTGGGTGTCTAGCAGAGCCTGTAGACTGAGGGTTCAGTTGCAGAGATCCTGAGCACCAATCAGTGCAGTCCACATCACCCCCACCAGTTGTGAGCTGGAAGCCAGTTTTTCAGTGGGCAGTTGAGATGGCCCAGGCTAGGCCAATCTAGTCAAATCTTAGAAGCTATGCCCTGGTCAGCAGTATTAGTACTTGGGTAGGAGACCACCAAGGAAGTCCAGGGTCACTGTACAGAGGCAGGCAACGGCAAACCACCTCAGTTCATCTCTTGCCTTGAAACCCCATGGGGGTCACCATAAGTTGGCCGCAACTTGATGGCAAAAGTAAAAAATTGTGGTTGCTTATGAGCAGTTTCAACCAGTTCACCAAGTTAATTTCCACACACAGAGACAGCCATATACAGGGCACATTAAGCACCTGCCTGTCTTGGCATACTCTACTGCCAAATGCATAAATAAAGAAGAAAAAGTCACATATAAACAAACACCATGTAATTTTTTTAAAAAAAGGTTCTTACCACTTGGTGTTCATCTGAGTCTGTCCAACACTCATCAACACTGCCATGTGACACTATTTGCTATGTTTTGGTCATTATCTGGAGGTGGGGTGGTTTGGTGGGAGAGGGATATTGGGTAAGGTATGTCCAGATAAAAACTTGCAATCATGCAAAAATACACATCTGTGACTGTTCAACCTAAATCTAGACTGAGCCCATTTGCTGCCCAACTCGGTCCCCTGGATGACCAGCAGAGAGGATGACTGTGTTGCCCACAACAGAGACTAAGCATTCAGTGGGTCCTCCTTTCCCAGCACTCACCTGCTCTCCTCCTCCTCCTCCTAGGACAGCACCGGCTTCCATTTCTGTGGAGGTTCTCTGATCAGAGAGAACTGGGTGGTCACGGCTGCCCACTGCAACGTCAGGTAGGAAGGTTGTCTTCGTTCGAAGACTGGGCTAAGAGATTAATTTCAGAGGTGCTGGGGCTCAAGTTTCTGAAGAAGAAGCTATAACCCGCCCCCCACCCCGCATGTGGGATAGTCAGGAGTAAGAGAGTTCCACTCGGTACTCCTTCAGAGTGGTTCCACACTACTCAGAATGTAGCACAATAATCCTCACTTGTCTTTGCAATTATGACAGGGTGGGTTCCAGACGTTGTTGCCATCAATCTGACATCCCTCTCCATTCTTTGGTTATTACAGTCCTGGAATTTCTAGAAGCAGATTTATTGCAGTTGTTGGGGGTGGGGGTCGTGAACACAAGAAGTGCAGACTCTGTGCTGGGTGGATGGTCTTTCTGCTACTGTTTCACCATGTTCTCACCTCAGGATGATGTGTGCTTTGGCATGTGTTGGAAAGCACATTTCCCCGCTGTCAGTCACCAAACCACCTGCTACCGTCTCCATTTAAAAAATAAAATAAAAATGTATCTCTTACATCACTAGACTCATGTGAATTGGCACCACTTCTCTTTGTACCATGAGGTGATATTCCTACTTTTATTTATTTCTTTGTATTATATACCTCACCTCGCCTCATGGTTCAAGGTGGCTTATAATATTAGAGCCACTCTCTCCTGGCCTCGGCCCTCAGGCAACATGAGAATAGCCATACTGAGCTGCCTAAAGCAGCTGCTGGAAGAATTACCCATGATGCTAGGGGTGAAGGGTCTTCTGCACTCTCAGGCACTGATTTAATTAATGGCTAATGGATCATCTATCAACTTCCCTTCCTCCCTCTCCCTTTGCAGGACAACTCATCAAGTGGTGTTGGGAGAATTTGACCAAGGCACTCCTTCAGAGGAAGTTCAGGTCCTAAAGATTGCCAAGGTAATACAGGACTTCCCATCTCCAGAGGGTGCCTGCTCTTTTTTACTACAAACACTCTAGGTCAGGGGTGTCAAACTCATCTGTTATGCGGGCTGGATCTGACATAAATGAGACCTTGTCGGGCTGGGCCATGTGTGTCATAAAATGTAATGCCAGGTAGTGGAGATATAAACTTTATAAAGGACACAAACACAAAGGTTTTTTTTTACTTAAAATAAAAACATGCTTAAAACATTAGCTCTGTAAGCTGCAAACCTACTTTTGATTTATTGACATTCACCACAGAAATCTAATGCTCAGAGTTCTGAGTCTAGGACCCAGGTTAAAACATGAAAGGGCTGAGTGATTAAGAGAGTCTGGCGAAGCAAGATGTAATGCAGCAGCAGAACTGGAAGCAGGAGATGGCCAGTTCCACTGAGGGCCTGATGAAAGCCCTCCGGGGGTCTGATCCAACCCCCGGGTTGCATGTTTGACACCCCTGTTCTAGGTCTTCCAAGCTCAAATGATGTCCAGTCCTTGCCTTCACAGATCTTTCCACAAACTTTACTGCTAGGTTTGCCAGTTTACAGGTGGCGGCTGGAGATCTCCTGCTATTACAATTGGTTTCCAGGTTACAGAGATCAGTTCTCCTGGAGAAAATGACTGCTTTGGAAGGTGGACTCTATGGCATTATACCCCACTGAGGTCCCTCCTCTCCCAAATCTCACACTCCCCAGGCTTCACCTCCATAACCTCCAGGTATTTCACAACCCAGAGCTGGCAACCCTAGGAGACTGTGCACGACTGCCAGTTACATAGTCAAGCCCTCCTGTTGTGAACCTCTCCTCTCGCCCCCCCAAACATACGGTATTTTTCTTGCTGGTCTTCTGCTTTCAACTTGCGTTCTACTTTCAGTACATCTGCGCTTCCTCATTCCAAAAATAACTGGGCTGTCCTTGCTATTTTAGGGGCAAATTGATGGTTTATTTGGTTTTAAAAAAACCCCAGCAACAACACCATGCCAACTTTACTTCAGATCAGCAACATGCCTCTTTCCTCTACTGCTAAATTTGCAGGGATATGCAAAGGCTGAAAGAGAAATGTGTTAGTGTGCGTTGCAAAGACATCTGTGCAAGTTACTGCAAAATGAACAGAATGTTCATGCTGTTCAACACCAAGGTCTTAACAAAAAAAAATTCTTTAAAAGGTGATGGAGAAGGGTCAGGATGGTCAGAGCAACAAAAGGGTGTGTGTGTGTGTCCTGTCTGAAATGACCAGTGTTAGCCCTAAAGAGACATCCTAGTAAAATTAAGCATCTGCTTTATGAGGCACTCAAAAACATGAGTGCAAACTAAGATAGAACAATGTTTCGGATGTTAGCTGTTAGCCAAGATGAGGGAACCCTTCCAAATTTAATCCAGAATTAATGATAAATTTCTTAGACGGGCAGAAAATCAATCTCTGCTCAAGATGGGATCTCTAGGCTTTGGTACAAAGGCTTTGGTACCTGACTGCGGTGTGTCGTGACCTGGAGAATGAAGACCCTGCTTGGGGGCTTAGTGCTGAGTACAAGGCTTTCTTTATTGCCTGGCTAGTAGCCACTGATAGACCTATCCTCCATGAATCTGTCTAATGCCCCTTTAAAGCTGTTTATTCCTTAGGGTTGCCAGATCCCCTGGGGGGTGGGGGTTTACCCGCTTTAGGGGCCCCAATCCACCAGCCTGGATCCATCTGGCGGGGGAAACCCGGCCCCCAAAGTGCCTGGATCAGGCCAACATGCCCAGCGCAATGACATCACCCAGAGGTGATGTCATCGTGCCAGGCATGTCGCTTGCGGGGTGCTCTAGCATTTGGCCTGAAAACTCTATGGTATCATAGAGTTTCTAGCCAAATGCTAGTGTCCCCCTGGCGACGTGCCTAGCATGATGACATCACTTCCAGGTGATGTCATTGCATCCCAGGAGAAGAGCTCCCCCTCACACACTGGCAACCCTATTATTCCTGTGGCCATCACTACATCCTCTGGCAGCAAATTCCACATGTTAATCACTCACTGTGTAAATAAGTGTTCCCTTTTGTCCATCCTGAATCTACTGCCCATCAGCTTGACTGGATGCCCTCGAGTTATTGTATCTTGGGAGAGAAAAATTTTATTGGCAACCTACTGTATCCCACTGTTTCCCATCCTCCTCCTGTTGTTGTTTTTCAGTTTATAGAGATTTTGAAGGTCAACTGTGATAGCAATGCCAGACTATCCAATGTGGACAGTCAAAGCACTCGTGAGATTTCTACTGTCTCTTAAATAAATTTTCCTCCTGGCTTTCTGCTTCCAGTTTAATTATTTACTTTCTGTTCTCTTTGAGGCCCTCCATTACTTGTTAATTGGCAGCGTCCTGAGTGGGGTTAAGTACTTCTTTTAACTTTGTGGCCACTGTTAATTTTTTGTTATATTTTTATGATTGTAGTTTTGTAATCAAGCCATTGCAATAATAATAAAAAAACAGGAATAATGAACAAGAAGCCTTGGCTGAAAATTTAAAAAAACAGTGCTTAATTCCCCCCCCAACCAATAATTAATAACTGAATGAATTAGGATGTAAAACAAGAGGGAGAAACAGCAGCTTTGTGGAATGGGATTTCTAAGTAAACTTTGAGTAAACTTTAGTATTCCCCATTACTATGTATGACTGTGAAAGCTGGACAGTGAAGAAAGCAGACAGGAAAAAAAGTTGATTCCTTTGAAATGTGGCGTCGGAAGAGAGTTTCACAGATACTGTGGGCTGCCAAAAAGGCAAATTAGTGGGTTCTAGATCAAATCAAGCCTTGACTCTCTCAAGAAGCTAAAATAACCAAACTGAGGCTATTGTACTTTGGTCACATTATGAGAAAAGAGTCACTGGAAAAGACAATCGTGCTGGGAAAAGTTGAAGGCAACAGGAAAAGAGGAAGACCCAACATGAGACGGATTGACTCCATCAAGGAAGGCAGAGCCCTCAGCCTGAGCAAGGCTGTTAACGACAGGACATTTTGGAGGTCATTAATCATAGGGTCACCATAAGTGGGAAACAACAATGGCGCTTACACGCACAACGTTTAAGATCTTGCCCATGGGGATGGGTATTGCTGGATTTTTTGTGAGGACTGCTGCATGGAGCTTTAGTTTCAAGTTCACTTGCTGCAGAAAAGGACTAACAGTGCAGCTATAGGCAGAGTTACCCCCTTCAAAGCTTCAATGGACAGGTGTAACTCTGCTTGGGATGACACTGTGAAGACATGCAAAAAGGTGCTAATGTGGAAGCAGCCAGGATGGAAAACATCCTACTGGGTGCATCCAAGTAGTCACTTCCTGCACTTGCTCAAGGTAACCCAGAACTGGCAGCATTACAGGTATGAAGGTGGACATGATTTTGCACAAAAGTCACAAAGGTCTTGAAAGCCAGACCATGGACAATTTCCCTAGAGGCATGACCTGTGTCACCACTGGACGTGGGGCTTTACCAACTGCAATGGAAGCATCTCAGCATTGTCCCTACTCGGAAATGGGCAGTGTGTGTGCTGAGGCTTGATTTCCTCAGCCTTTTTGTTCTCAACTAGGACTGTGCCATTGAGGTGGACCTCTCTGTCACTGGACTACTAGAGAACAGTAGGGACATCAAGACAGCCTTCATATGGGTTAAGAATCCCAGGGGAAGGGGCTGAATCAGTTTTCCAGATATCATCTGTCTGGCAATTACCTTTTTGGCAGGGTTTTAGAAAGATCCGACAGGATGGTACCCAAGCAGAGGTCATTTTGGGGGGGGTCGCAGTTCCCCCGGGTGAGGTACGGGGGGTGGGGCACATGACAAAGCCCCGTCCGCTGCTTCCAGCCGCCCCGCTTCCGGCCCTCATTCAGCCAGGAGGAGGCAGGAGAAGAGGGAGGGTAAGTTGCTTCCTCCCTGCCTCTCCCCACCCCTGCCTGCCTGGGGCCAGGGAGGGCCTTCGCGGGGCTTCCTTGCACACCCGCCGCCCTTGCAGGTCCACCACCGGGCCCCTCATGGGGCTCAGCAGTGGAGCTGCAAGGCCGGCAGCGGCGGCCGGGACCGTTGGGGGCGGGGTGTGTGGCCTTATGACACACTTCCGGTGATGTCAGGGGGTGTGGCCTTATGTCACACTTCCGGTGATGTCAGGGGGTGTGGCATATGCTAATGAGTTATGCTAATGAGTTCCCCTAGCTTTTTTTCTACTAAACGACCCCTGTACCCAAGCATGTGGAATCAGCTGGATCTCGATGGGAAGAGCAGCTCACCTGCAAGGAGAATCTCTCCAAGTTCAATCTCCATTTAAAAGGACCTTGGGTAACAGGTGTTGCGGGGGGGGGGAGAGATGGACCAATGGCCTGATACGGTATAAGCCAGCTTTCTGTGTTTACGTATGTGGCCTGAAGCGTGGTCTCTAGTTTCAGAAATACCAAGCCCTGTGCAGTTTTTCCCCCAGCAGACAGAATGAAATCGGGGTTTTTTGCAGGTCTTCAAGAACCCCAAGTTTAACATCTTCACCATCAAAAATGACATCACACTGCTGAAGCTCGCCACTCCAGCCAGGATAACGGCTAGCGTGTCTCCCGTGTGTCTACCCGAGGCCTCGGATGACTTCCCTGGGGGCATGTCTTGCGTCACAACTGGATGGGGTCTTACGCGCCACAATGGTAACCCTATCCCCGTTTGGAAACGGACAGAGGGAACTACAGGGGGACTTGAATCCAGGTCTCGTTCAGCCGGTCTTTTTAAACCCACCCTGCCATATACCCTCAGGAACCAGATGGGCTACAGTCATTGTGAGGTCTCTATTCCTGTTGGACTTCAGGTCTTTGTACTCCGGATGCCTCCAGGCTCAGCAAAACTGTCCTCAGAAACAGATGGGTTAGCCCTTTGGGAAGTCCCCATGTGGGCCTGTCCTTTGTGGGCCTCCATTTCTGGCCAACATCTGCCAGGCTAAGACAGGCATGAGATTGCCTGATGATGAAAGTGGCAACATGTAATTTTAGAAAGTCCTATAACACTTTATCAGTTCTCTAAGGGCATATCTTAGAGAACTGCGGTGGCTCAAGTGGTTAAGACGCTGAACTGCAGGCTGTGGAAGGTCAGTAGTTCAGCGGTTCAAGACCCGGGTGCCGCAAGACAGGGTGAGCTCCTGTCTCTAGTTCCAGCTCCTGCCAACCTAGCAGTTTGAAAGCAAGAAATTGCAAGTAGATAAATAGGTACCACTTCGGTGGGAAGGTAACAGCGTTCCGTGCGCCTTGGTGTTTAGTCATGCCGGCCACATGACCATGGAAACGTCTTCGGACAGCGCTGGCTCTTCGGCTTTGAAACGGAGATGAGCACCGCAACCCTAGAGTCGGATTCGACTGGCTTTCGAGCAAGGGAACCTTTACCTTTACCTTTAAGGGCATATCTACAAATTGGTCCAATAGTCTTTCTCCCTCTCTCCCCCAAGGAATCCTGGGAATGGTAGTTCAGAAGCTAGGGAACTCTTGCAGAGAAATCATAAGATTCTCACCAGCAAGCCACAATTCTCTGGGGGGGAGCCATGACAGTTAATAATAATAATTAAGTGCCATCAAGTCACAACTGACTTATGGATGATGCCTCTTGGGGTTTTCAAGGCAAAAGATGAGCAGAGGAGTTCACTGTTGCCCTTCTCTGCATAGCAACCCAGGATTTCCTTGGTGGTCTTCCACCCAAGTACTAATCATGGCTGACCTGGCTTTGTTTATGAACTCTGCTGAGCTCAGAAAGGGGTATTCAATTGGTATGTTCCTTATGTAGATCATGCAAATTCAGAAGTGAATGTGGATGAAATTCGAATGTAAGAAATGTCCCTGAGAACCATATTTGCTGTTGGGTCTTTTTCAGACAAGGACACCCCAGAGAAGCTACAGCAAGTGGCCCTTCCTCTGCTGACCAACCAAGAGTGCAAGAAATACTGGGGCAACCGCATTGCTGATGTCATGGTCTGTGCAGGTGCTGCAGGAGCATCCTCGTGCATGGTAAGTCCCCACCTGGCATGCTCAGAAAGTCCCCTCTCCATAGTTGTTCCATCTCCACCTCCCTCTGTGCACATTCAGCAACATACCTCCTTTTGCCAGGATCTGAACTGGCTCCAGTTGTCTCCTTGCTGCTTCCACCTTTCTCTAGTTTGGGGTGGAGCTGTGGCTGTAGCAGAACATCTGCTGTGCGTGCAGAGAATTCCTTGGTTCAGTCCTTGGCGTCTCCAGTTAAAAGGGTACGGCAGAGTGAAGGACTGCAACCTGCCAATCAGAGCAGGCAACTATGACCTTGACCAACCAAGAGACATGCTTCATACATGCCAGCTTCTTCTTAAAGGGCCATGGCTCAGCGATAGAGCATCTGCTTGGCATACAGAAAGTCCGAGGTTCAATCCCCAGCAGCTCCACCTGAAAGGACCAGGTGGGAGGTGATGTGAAAGATCTCACCCTGAGTCCCTGGAGAGCTGCTATTGGACAGAGCAGCCAGTGCAGCCCTGTTTCACAGGATCCTGTGTATTCTTTGGTCCATCTCGCTCCTTAATCTGTTGTTTGATAGATGTGCTTCATTTCTGAGAGCCGTTTCCCTGCAACGGAAATCCTAAAGTCTAAGGGAGCAATGGGTGCCCAGCAAGAATAGGAAAGCATGCCACACCTGCATTGAGGCGCCTGCCTTTATTCTGACAATCTGGGATTCAGCTCTAAGGTTAAAAGGAGATCCAAGTGTCACACATCAAGTCCTTCTTCACTGTGTGGCTGCATCTCATACCCACAGATGTGAGGCAGGGGCCTTCCCACTGACCCTCCCTTGATGCTCTGCTCTGCTTCCTCTTTGCAGGGAGACTCTGGTGGACCCTTGGTGTGCCAGAAGGATGGTGCCTGGACCTTGGCAGGGATTGTCTCCTGGGGCAGCAGTACCTGCTCCACATCTAGCCCTGGGGTCTATGCCCGCGTCACTGAGCTCCGGCCCTGGATTGATGAGATACTAGAAAGCAATTAAATCTCTTGGACTGTGGAACAATAAAATCGGGATCAGGCACCCTTTCTCTGTGTTACTTTTTGGACTCTGAAGGCCCCCATCCCACACATACACACACACACACACACGACCATGCTGTTGGATTTGCTGATCTGGGATAACAATGCTTCTGTGCCCCCCTTTCTGAATTTCAGGGGCCACTACAACTGAGTTTATAGCCTGTTTTTGCATGTTTTCTTGGAAGTAATTACCAATGAATTCAATAAGGCTTACTGCCACAAGTATACATGTACAAGACTGCAATTTTGGTTTGCTGGGGATGACAGTGCGGCAGACTGGCGAGGTCTTTGCACAGTTTGATTTGCTTACATATGTGCAACTCCTTTGCATGTTAGGCCACACACCCCTAATTGTAGCCAATCCTAATGAGTTGCTGTTGTTGGGTGTGGCCTATTATACTAATGAGTTCCTGCTGGGCGTGGCCAACTTGGGAGCCAGCCGGAACTCCGTTCCTGTGCGTTCCTGCCCAAAAATAGCCCTGCTTGGAAGTAATTACCAATGAATTCAATAAGGCTTACTGACACAAGTAAACATGTACATGTACAAGACTGCAATTTTGGTTTGCTGGGGATGACAGTGCAGCAGACTTGCGAGGTCTTTGCACAATTTGTTTTGCTTACACATGTGCCAGTGAAATACAGTGGAAGCACACAGTCATTTCTTCAGCACACCCCAAGAGAATCGCTTGTGCAACAGGTCCCCAAAGCTGCCCTCTAGCTCCCTCAGTTTCAGCTAACTCCAGCCAAAAACTCTAATCTCTCTTTTTCAAGAGAAACATTTTGGCTATTTCTCTGGCCCTCATCTCAGATTAAAAGGCAGTGGCTCTCAGCAGTAGAGCATCAGCTTGGCATGTAGGAGGTCCCAGGTTCAATTCCCAGAATCTCCCGTTAAAAGGACCAGGTGGCAGGTGATGTGAAAGACCCTTACGTATGACCCTGGAGAGCTGCTGCCAGTCAGAGGAGTCAGTACTGACCTGCACGTTCTGACGGTCTGATTCAGTATAAGGCAGCTTTATGTGCACCTTCCCTCGAATGGGTATCTCATTCCAAACACATGAGAGAGATCCCCCGTTACCAGGAGACTCTCTCCTGTCACTAGTGTCTGTTGATAAAACTCCAGTGCTACAGACGATTATTGTTGTTGTTCAGTCGCACAGTCGGGTCCGACTCTTCGCGACCCCATGGACAATCTCCCGCCAGGCTCTCCTGTCTTCCGCCGTCCTCCGAAGTTGGCTCAATTTCATGTTCGTTGCATCGCTGACACTGTCTAACCATCTCATCCTTTGCCGTCCCCGTCTTCTTTGACCTTCAATCTTTCCCAGCATCAGGGTCTTTTCCAGTGAGTGCTCCCTTCTCATTTGGTGGCCAAAGTATTTGAGCTTCAGTTTCATTATCTGGCCTTCCAGGGAACAGTCAGGGTTGATTTCTTTGAGGATTGACTGATTTGTTCTTCTTGCAGTCCAAGGGACTCTCAAGAGTCTCCTCCAGCACCATAGTTCAAAAGAATCTATTCTTCGGCGCTCGGCCTTCCTTATAGTCCAACTCTCACAGCCATACATGACTACTGGGAATACCATTGCTTTGACCATGCGGACTTTTGTTGGCAGGGTGATGTCTCTACTTTTTATCATGCTGTTTAGGTTCGCCATCGCTTTCCTCCCAAGGAGCAGGCGTCTTTTAATTTCATGGCTGCAGTCACAGTCTGTGGTGATCTGGGATCCCAGGAACGTGAAGTCTGTCACTACTTCCACGACTTCCCCTTCTATTATCTCAAATAATTTTTATATATTTTTGTTTTATATTTTTACAATTTATTCACCATATATTATTTATCATATAAACCTTAATACATAGAAATAATCCTCCTGTTTTTTGTATTTCCTACTTACCCTGGGTCCTATTTTGGTTTCTGTGAACTGATAAAACTCCAGTGACAGTTATTGGACTAACAATTCATTTATAAAGGCAATGCCACCATCCAGTGTTACAATATTCATCACCAGAGCGTATAAAGATCCCCACTATGGTTATATACTACTTTTATCAGTCTTTCTAATTCCTTTTATACCCTTATCCCATGCAGAGCCAGGGGTGCCCAAGCACATTAAAATCACTAATGCACATGCCTAACTCTGCATGCATTCCAAGGACTCATATCCCAGGAAGATCATGCATCCCAGTCCCTTTAAAAAAAATTCAAATTGCAGGGGGCTTAATGCAGCCCCAGAGCTGTGTTGGAAAGAAAGAGGCTTCGCCCTTTAACATCCACTCAGTTTCAATACTCAAAAGCAGCTCTCCCACACTGCTATTTTAATTTCCAAGAAATAGATGACAAACGTGTCCCCCCCTCCCTCAAAATGCTAGTAACAAGGCATGTAATTGGTTTTGATTAGCAAAACTAAGAGGAGGTCACAGGGCTAAACCCCCTCTCCCCCAAGGCAAATGGAGGCTGTACATGCTTGCAATTTGCATTTTACAGATAAGACTACTACACTTGGTGACTAAAGAGAACTTCCACAGTCAGAGGCAGTAAATCTCTGAATCCAAGTGCTAGGAGGCAATATCAAGGGAAGGCCTTGGCCTCCGTGCCCTGTTTGGCCCTTCAGGGCAACTGGTTGGCCACTGTGAGAAACAGAATTGGGATTAGATGAACCACTGGTCTGACTCTGCAGGGCTCTTACGTCATCTATCTAGGGGCCAGCCAGTTTACTATTAGAAACAATCATGATGTTCTTCTCCTCCCTTTCCCCCCTCCTCCAGAGGTACAGTTTAGAGCTCCAGTGCCTTATTTTTGTAGTAGGCAAATCAGCTCTAACAATTTCCTCCATCTGATGGGGTAATTAATGGGTATTATTAAACTACAAGTCCATGTTGCGATTCTACAAGTTCTTACTGTAAAACTCCAGATGAATTCATCGATTAGTAACTTTGGCTGTGACCTCACAGTCACGGCAGCAGATCAGAAAGGCTGCTTCCTCCACAAGTGTGTTTTATAAAGGATAGGGAATCCCACCTTTTCTCTCTTTAGCACCCCCCCCCCCAATTGCAAATATGACTCCAGATGACGGGGTAAGGATGGAGGGGGAGACTCATGTACAGTCATGACCAGTGTTCCCTCTAAGCTGAGTTAGTGTGAGCTAGCTCACAGATTTTTAGCCTCTGGCTCACACATTTTTGTTTTAGCTCAGGAAGGATGACTCCAGAGCAAACTAATTGATGCAGTAGCCAAATCGCTCGCTCACAACTTTAATGCTAGTAGCTCACAGAGTAGAATTTTTGCTCACATGACTCTACAGCTTAGAGGGAGCATCAGTCATGACTGCTTAATGCGAAGCCTCTCTACTGAGACCCCAAGTTCCACTTTGCTCGACAGGGCTTACTCTCAAGTACGCAAACAGAGGTGTCCATCTTTCTCCTCTTAGTGGAGATCACTTACCTGCCTCTAGAGGCAGCAAGAGCAGAACTAGCTGGTGTACCATCATCCTAGGGAAAACTTTACAGCTTACTTTGACTGTATATAGGAATTGGCCTCAGACATAAGAAGTTAAGGGCATGTCACTGAGCATGTGCAAAGTGCTTTGCTTCCTCATACCTGAACAGACCATGTCTGTTAGCCTTCCGCTATGTTGGGAGATGAACTTAATATTTGCTTTTGTGTATTTGTATTTGCTGACACACACATACACACATGGACTGTGCCCACAAACCCCTACAAGCTTAGGAAAAGCTGTTTGCATTGCACGCTAACAGCTATGATCTTTCCAGGAGACGACACTTTGCAACACAAGGCTAGGTTCAACATGCTTTCCACTCATCCCTGTTTCCAAGAGAACAGCCCTTGCTTTCACCACCCCATTTTTGGCATTATATATATATATATTTGCTTAAAATGGTCTTCTTTGGGGTTTCTTCAGTCTTTAGAAGTTAATAAAGATGCATCCTAGGCTGCTAACCTCCAGGTGGGGCATGGAGATCTCTCTCAGAATTACAACCAGCCTCCAGACTACAGAGATCAGTTCTCCTGGACAAAATGGCTGCTTTAGAGACTGAACTCCATGGCATTATACTCTGCTGAGGTCCCTCCCCTCCTCACAAACCCTGCCTTCCCCAGGCTCCACCCCCCAAATCTCCCTGAATTTCCCAGCCCAGAGTTAGCAACCCTAAATTGCACCCCCACACACACACTCAAACTAATGGATTTAATACATATTTATCCCATCATTCCTCCAAGGAGTATGTGGAGGTCCTCCCTCCTCTTTTTTCCTGGTATTTGTGTGTGTCTTTGTGCATGTGTGTACACCTGGAAGTCATGGTTGACTTCTGGCGACCCCAAGTGGGGCTTGGATGTTTCAGAGAGGTAACTTGCTATTGCCTGCCTCTGTGTCCCGGCCCTGGTATTCCTTGGAGGTCTCCCTCCCAAATACTTGCCAGGGTCGACCCTGCTTAGCTTCCAAGATCTGACGAGATCAGGCTTGGCTAGGCTACCCAGGTCAGGGCATCACTCCTCTGTTTTTATTGTTGCAACTACCCTTTGCGGGAGGCTAGGCTGAGAGAAGATGTCAGAAGTAATTAAGGTTGTCAAAGAGTAATTAACATGTGGAATTCCCTGCCACAGGAAGTGGTGGCAGCTACAAGCACAGACAGTTTCTAGAGGGGACTGGATAAACATATGGAGCAGAGGTCCATCAGTGGCTATGGGCCACAAGGTATGGATGGAACACTCTGTCTAGGGCAGTGATGCTCTGTATTCTTGGGGCTTGGGGGGCAACAGTGGGAGGGCTTCCGGAGTTCTGGCCCTGCTGGTGGACCTCCTATTGGCACCTGGGTCTTGGCCACTGTGTGACAGAGTATAGGACTGGATGGGCCATTGCCCTCATCCAACATGGCTTCTCTTATGTTCTTATAAAAGACATTTGTACACAACGGGACATGATGACGTTTCAGAAACTCTGTAAGGCAGAATTATTCTGGCGTGCTTTTAGTTCATAATATCTCTTTACTATCTCTTTATTGTGAAGTACAGTTAGCTTGTGGGTAATTTTTTGATGTTACTTACAGGAGTTCCTACGGTTTTGCGGGGAGATTAGATTGGTTTTATGCATTTTTACTCTTTTATATTAATTTGATTTATACCCCACTGTCCCTACCAAGGCAGGCTCAGGATGGCTTATTGTAGAGCACTGATCCCCATAGAGGTCTACTAATCAACATCTTTTGATAGTCCCCGGCCCCAGGGACATCCCACTTGTGTCGACCAGGGCCAGGGCCTTTTTAGCCCTGGTCCCCACCTGGTGGAATGAGCTCCCATATGAGATCAGGGCCCTGTAGGATTTATTACAATTCCGCAGGGCCTGTAAGACGGAGCTCTTCCCCCAGACTTTTGGTTGAGGCAGTGGACCTTCCCTCCCTCTGGTTGGCCCCCCATCCGTGGCCTGGATTCTTAATTCCATCTTAATCGCTAAGACATCTGATTCACTTGGTATTTTAGGATTTTGTGCTGTTTCATACTGTTGTTTTTAAGTGGTTTTATTTTATTACATTTTTAATTATATTATTTTATT